GTAAAGCTTGTGTTTGATACTTCATTTGCTGCAGTAGCCAGTTAGCTTAGCTTAGCATAAAGACAGGGTACTCTGGCTTCATCCAGATGTACTGAAATCTGCCTAGCTGCACCTCTAAAGCTCACTTATTACCATGTTACTGTTATCTTATTATATTATTGTCTAGTGAGGTTGCCAGGAAACAAGTGCAGAGAAGTGAACATATTGAGTTGCTCTTCTTTGACTTTCTACCCCTCAGAGCATTGTGTCTGCTCGTCTGCATGTTTCTCTACTTACTGTATGCATGTATGCACATTCATAAAAGTGAGTCTGCTATAGATTTCCCGGGTAAATCAATGCACTTCCAGCCCCTCTTAATGCCCCCCCTGCCTCTGCTAATCCTCATTATGAGTCTAAGCCCCTCTTCTGAGTCGCAGATTCTTTATGTTGTCGCATGTAGTCTGCTGCGGCATTATCCTGTTCAGAATGGCTTATCGTTGCTCTTATCATCGCTGTACTATCAACCAATGAGGCGCAGCGGCTTTCAGGGGCTCCGTTCTGCACACTCCGCTTGTTTGGCTGAGGTCAATAGGATTGGGAGAGTGTGTGTTGAATAGGAATGTGCTGGAGAGGTGGAGAACGGGAGGACATCTTCCAGGATGGAGCCTCTGAGTCAGGAAATTACTCGCTAACCCCCCCCCCCCCCCCCTTTACAAACTGACAGGGTCTGTCTAGAGACAAACTCAGCCTCCCAAAGCACAGCCTGTTTGATATGCAGCTCAGTCAAACGACAAGGCGAGCAGCCAGACGTGAACACACACACACACACACACACACACACACACACACACACACACACACACACACACACACACAACACACACACACACACACACACACCCACACACACACACACACACACACACACACACCACACACACACACACACACACACACACACACACACACACACACACACCACACACACACACACACACACACCACACACACACACACACACACACCACACACACACACACACACACACACACACACACACACACTGTAAACACGTGAGTGGTGAGATAAAAGGCGAAGAGATGAGGGAGTAGAGGAGGAGATGAAAGGAAGCAGGTAGGCGAAAGGAGGGCGGAAACATATGATATCAAATCTGAGCCACGACACTTTAAAAACAAATCTGTGTTTACAGTGAACACGTGAAACTAAATCTAGAACACAATCTCTCCAAGGGGGTTCTGGAGATGTGTGTGATTTCAGCCTGCAGTATTTTCAGATATAAAAAATGTCAGCTGCAAATGTCAGCGTCAGTGTCGTCTAATTCTGTCGGGCTTATTCAAACAGTTTGGGCTGAACGCGGGGTGATTACAGTATCACCTCGTCCTCATGACGACAGCAAAATGACATTTAATGACGGCTCTCCGCTTGGAGGAAATGGAGGGCCAACGAGGTAACAGCCAATCCACGCCTGAACATGACTATTATCTGTTTTCCGTGGGATTTGGCGCTGCTGTGAGCAATCATTGGGACCAGGTGTCAAATGGAGAGAATACACAATAATCTCAATGGGTGTGGGAGTCTGTTTTCCTCAGTGTAGATGTCAGCAGCTCGTGAATGAACGGATGAATACAATGCCGTTTGCTAACCTTGGTCCTACTGTAGGCGAAACAACACCACAGAGAGAAACAATCCTCCCTCGGCTCATAATTACATTCGAGGAACTGCATCCCATTATGTTCTCTTAGCCAGGGTCAAGGTGTTAGTCGGAGAAGAATGAGAGGAATGGAGGCAGCATTATGCACTGAGTAAAACTAAGCCCAGTGAAGCTTAATGTCTCTCAACAAGAGGAGTGTGTGCACACTGGATATGCAGATTGGAGAGCAAATTGAGAGAGGAACATCCCGCCTTAAACCTAAATGACGTCGACCATCCATCACTTCTCGTGCCGCTGCAGCCGTGTTTGTCTTCTCGTGTGTTTAGGTGTGTTGGGTTTGCATAATTGCATTTGCTGCGGGAAGAGAAGCACTTACTCTCATTTTCGGCCGTGATTTATCAACCCGAGCGATTCGAGCCAATGCACACATTCATTTTATCTCCGCGGTGACCTTTTTTTTCCCCGGCAGAAAGAACGAACGGCTGCCATCTTTGTTTTTTCTGCAAAAAAGCTTCTCCTTGTCAGCGACGGAAGTGCATATGGTTTTGACATTGATGGCGGAGTCGTTGAAGAATAATTACTTTTCAGACAAAATGCGGATGCAGCTCATTGGGGCCGAGTGAATAATGGAGAGAGAGAGAGAGAGACAAACGCCCAACAGAAGCTAGGCGTCCTTTCAATTCCCTAAGTTGCATTTAAAGACAGTCAAAGGCAGGTGGAAAGCAAAGTGTACATTGAAAGTGTTAACCTGAAAAACTTCAAGGTTCTTCCTCTTCTTTGTGCCGGGAGTTAATCAAAATAAATGCGTGAGCTGATTTCCCTTGAGATAATAATCACAGCAATGTCTGGTGATTTAAACACAAGGTGAACGCGTGCAGAAAGCAGCTTTTATATGAAAACAGTCTTTAGTGGAGAGACGCTAATGCAATGCACAGGAAGGCATGTGGCTTTGTGAGCTCTGCACTCAGGGAAGACAAGGATCAATCATACACTCTGGAAAACAAACATCATCTGCTTTCTGACAGGCTCTTCTAGCAATAAATGACTAATTGCAGCATTTCATGTATGGCAGATGGGAATAATTACGCCTGCTTTTATTTTTATGGGCGCGTATACAAGTAATTACCTGTTAATGTCGGCTATTTCTTTTAGTACTGGACCGGTGTGAGCACAAACAGTTCAGTGTTTTCTACATAAATAAACATTGTGACATTTTAATGGTTACCATAAGAACAAAAGCAGACGAAAAACACCTCGCGTGGAAATTGTTTTTGTTGCACGGAAAGTTGTGACATCTATTTGAGTCGTTTTAAGCGCTAGCTGCTGCGAGGTGAGGTCGTTTCAGGGCACATTTGTTTTATCAGAAGCTCATTAGTGGAGCTCGGTGACAACAGATGAAAACAGGGCGGCTTTTTAAAGTCATTGGAAGTTGGTATTTGCTTTTCACTTCAGAGAGTAATGGCATATTCAAAGACACTAGGATAACGCCCGACCGTCGTATTGTGTGGAAGGCATTCAAGATAAATCAATTAAAGTTTACAAACTAATGAAACAAACAGGAGGTGGACGCACCCTGAATAAAGTGATGGGAAAGTTGAATCTGTTAAAACACCTGTAGCATACACTAACACAGTGATTCTCAAATGGGGGTACGCGGACCCCTAGGGGTACGTTGGGGTACTGCAGGGGGTACGTGAGATTTAAAAAAAAGGTTAATAAAAAAAATACCATGCATGATTACAAAAATAATCTTAATACAATAAGTTAAATAGAAAACACAATCTTAAATAAAATATTCCTAGAACCATCAAGGGAGTCCTCATATAAACATGTCAAATGTGTGTATTGTATTTTTTATAGTTTTTCACAATATATCATTTTGTTCATTAGTTTGTTAAACATATTTTACTTCAGTTGAAAAACTCCTTGGAAAAATCTGTTTTATAAAAACGTTATTTTCTTTCATGCATAAAATGAAAATATCCTTAGTTTGTTGTAATTCATGCACGAAGGAGTTAATAAATCACACACTGAGGGAACATCACTATATTGTAATTATTTATATAGGCTTTTTCGATCAAAAATGTTCGGGGTCGGTCAGGGGGTACTTGGCTGAGAAAATGTTTCAAAGGGGGTACATTACTGAAAAAAGTTTGAGAAGCACTGCACTAACAGACCGCTAACTACTGTATAATCACAGCCAAATAGAGGCTTTGAATACGGGAACATGCACTACAACATGACAGAATTAATATAGGTAAGTGTTACAGAACAATATCATGAATATCAATTAACAAACAGACAAAACTGTGTAGTTTTTTTGCTGAATTTGAGGGATTGGAAAATGCTAAATGCCATCTAGAGATAGAAATGTCTGTATATTTTGAAACTGGTGTATTCTAATGTATATCCTTTGTACCATAACATATAGCCTCAGTTCTGTTTGATGCAGATGGAGTTTCTGGCCGTTCTACCTTTGTTATGGTACACACTCTTAATAAACATCCAACCAAACTGCACCCAATCATGTCCAAGAACCAGAACAAATGGACACCTCATATCTGTATATCCTGTGTGCTCAGACCTACTGTATAGCCTCAGTGCTGTATGATGCAGACTCTCTTCCGACCTTGTCTCCGTACATTTCTCTATATATTGAAACAAGCTATAGTCCTTTTAAACTGGTGCACGCCTCCCTTCAATATGCTCTCTATATTATCTTTCTAGTATATATATTTTGTACATAACCTATAGCCTTGAATCTTGTATGATGCAGATGGAGTCTCTTCGTACCTTGTCTCCGTCCGTGAAGGCCTTCCCGTCGCTCGCTCTCCTCCAGGAGATGTCGGGCAGCGGCTCGCCCTCCGCCCCGCATGAGATCATGGCGGCGCTGCCCTCCACCGCCGTCACGTTCTTCAGCTGCGTGATGTGGGGCTGGACTGTGGGAATAAGAGGAAAGAGGAATGAGATAAAGAGAGTTGTTGGGAAGATACTGAATGTCCTCTTCCAATATGAGAGTACACATGATAACAAAGGTATCCCAACTGTAGCTGTGTTCATGACAGGATGTATGATTACCTAGAAGAGCATCAGGACTGTTTGAGGCATATGATAGCTATGTGATTAACATGATGATATAGAGATAGACATATGACACAACCCTCATGGCCAACGTTGAAAAGAATATTACATTACATGCGAGTGTTAAGAAAGACTTTTATTCTGGAAGTTTTCCTTATCCAGCACGGCGTGAATAGCTTTCTGAAAGTGCTGCAAAGATAAGATGCCCTGAGCAAGCCCTGAAACCCAAAGCATGTCAAGGGCAAAGAGCATGTCACATGAATCATGGATTGCTTCTTCTTTCCCCCGACACACACACACACACCAACACACACACACACACACACGTCCTTAACACGGTGCTTGCAAAGTAGCTTGGCATAAAATCCAAAGAGTAGTGAATGGAAAATAGTGAGTACTGTACTGGAGGCTCTTAACACCGCTCGGGGGATCTGAGGAGTGTTGGCAATTTCAACCTCCGGCTGGAGAAACTCCTCTGGGGATTTGGGGAGCTTGTCAAAACATTGGGTCTCACACACACACACACGCTCACACTCACACGCATATTTTATGACTTTACCTACAAGGGCTCTCAGTGGGTAGATCAGTGTTGTAGAGACAAACATAACCACTCCACACACAGCTGTTACTATTAAGAACCAAAGCTATTTCCCACTGGTTTGCTGTAGAACTAAATAATAATAATAATACTACATGACACTTACTGTATATAGCGCTTTTCTAGAAACTCAAAGACACTTTGACAGTAACACAGAAACGAAGAAAATAGGTAAAGAGACAAACAGAAACAGGTCATTTTGGCCGTCATTTCTATCAAATATGATTAAGTTTGGGGAGTTACGGTATGAAAATGCACACATTTATTCTCCCTTGTATTAATTGGCATTGCATCCAAACGTAATGGAAAGAAATCAGGTAACAAACTTTTCAAAAATAGCTGTATTTAGATGCCCAACCATTTACATACAAGAGGTGGACACAATATCGTAACAATAGACACATTTGACATACAAACAACCCTTATAAGTAGGTCGATCATTAACTCAGAATGAAGTAAACCTAACCCTATACACAGCTGTTACTATTAATAACCAAACCTATTATCCGTTTGCTGTAGGACTGGTTTTATTTCTGTCATTTACAGTAGTTACGGTATGAAAAAGCCATTTTATTGACATTTCTTCTCCCCTTGTATTAATTGGCATTGCATCCAAACGTAATGGAAAGTAATCATGTTACAAACTTTAAATGTCTAATCTATTGCCCAACATTTTATATACAAGAGGTGGGCACAATATCGGTAACAATAGACACACATACAATCCACCCTTATAAGTAGGTCTATCATTAAGTCCTAATATCTGTCAAACAGATGAGCCAATGAGAAGGGATGATTTCACTTGTCAGCTGAATTGAGACGATCCGTCTGATTGTGTATTGTGTGCAGACAAAAGGAAGCTGATCTACTGAACTCGAGCCAACATAATGGCAGAAGTTTGACATGTTGGAGGAATAAAAAGCTTCTTAATGAGACGAAATTACTTACTAAACCTCTATGTTATTATAGAACGTACTAATTCAACACTTTCAAAGCCGACCTACACAGATAAAAACTCTCGCAGAGACCAGTCTGAACCGGTTCTACATCAGCACCTTATCTGCAGCCGCCCCAGATGCCCTTCATCATGCAAATATTAAATGGAAAACGTCTCATTTATCAAGCACGGCGCGGAAAGCACTCTTCAGGGAACACTATTAATAAGGCATTATCTAAAACATTTCCACTCTAAATGGGAAAGAACTAAGCAGCATTTGTGTGCAGAGATAAAAATCCTGAATTAATTTCACCTTCTAGGTTTGGAGTGTATTATTTTTTAGTTCGACTCGTACATGAAGTTTCATTTTAAACCCTTCTTATTAAAAAACACAAGAGTATTTCACTTGTTTCATTACCTCCGCACCCTTTCCCATGTTTACTTTAGGTATTGTAATAACTCAACTTGCAAATGCAGTTAGTCCTGACACCTTAAAAAATGCTAATGGTGCCCTTTGCAGAGGGAAAAGCCACGGATGGTGTCAGTGTCACGGCATAACATTACACAATGACTGCTTTATGACACTAGAAACATTTCATAAACACACATTTGGATGCATTGTTGGCGTGTAACAGGATAAAAAAACGATTATTTCTGACACTTACATTAACATTTCTTGCTGTGTATGGACCATAAATGCAGAACACAGCATTTTCTTCCCCTCATATCAATATTTACACAAGCTTTCATCCCCCCTGACAGGTATCAGAGCACTAAATATTATATTAACTGTATCTGATGCAACAATAATGTGTGTATTTGTTGTTTGAGCGTCGCAGATCCACAAAGCAAATGTCAGCATAGATTCTCTGCTGTCATCCCTGATGTTTCTTTTAACTCTCCGAGGGTTCAACAGAAAAACAGTCCATTATAAATGTCATCAATTTATGCCGTGCACGTTATTGCAGGAGCAAGCCATGTCATTTACTCCCTTTTGTTGCTGTCTTGTCTGCTCACAGTGTATGATCCACGTTAACTAAAGGAAACCATGCTAAGCTAAAATGCTATTTCTAAAAAGTATAAAAAGGGGATTTTCTCCAACGACATATTCCACCCCTGTGGCCCTCAGATGTGAAAGCGTATGAATGAGAAATAGGAACGAATATCAATTAATTGGCTGTTTGTTGCCACACACGGTTCATGAAATGTCGAAACCCATCTGTGTAGGCGAATGTGGAGCAGCTGCTGCAAAACTGGAAACTCCAGAAACACATTTTCATTTATTTTATTCTCCGTCTAAACCCTGCTTTTGTCACATTGCTCATTTCATTTTGTGCTGAGAGTCTCATTGCCTTAGTTCGTGTTATCACCGTTAATAAGGCAATAATACACATGTGAGAGAGGAGACACGTGTTGCATCGAGATGGAACATTTGTGATCATAGAAATTACGTTTTAAATTAGCATTAAAATCACTGCGTGTGATAGAAACTGATATTTGTTGGACGGCGTTGAATGTGAGCACACACACACACACACACACACACACACACACACACACACACACACACACACACACACACACACACACACACACACACACACACACACACACACACACACACACACACACACACACACACACACACACACACACACAGAGTAACTTTTATGCCCTAGTCTCCTCCCGCCTCTGCTGTCAAGGCCAATAAAACTAAGTTACAGCTGTGTTTCCCCGCAGCACAGCTCAGCTCCTCCCTCCTCCAACTTCTTCATTTAAATGTGCATTTTGAAGAACAAGCGCTTCTCTCATCTTGAAAGGATGTTGATGACTGGAGCGTAAAAATCTCCATACATTTCCATGAGCGCTATCCGAGTGATCTGTGAGGAAATAGCCGGCAGGTTTATGAAAGTAGAAATTGAATTTTTTTTATTAGGAGTGGTGCAGCGAATGAGATCTGAAGCCATACATGAAATATTGCATTGGGGCAGAGATATATCATATTGATGCAGTTGTTATTGTCGAGGGCTGAGGGACATTTGTGTTTTTGTATGAAATGGAATTTGTGGAGGTCCTTACTATAAAGCTTTATGGATCAACATAAAACAAAGCTCACTGTTGAGGGCATTACACTTGAAAGCTTTGGAGCGCACACTGACATGTCATGTAGAATGAAACTTCCTAAATGAGAAGAAGCATTCGTGTTATTACCTCCACAAACAAAGGGTATGCTTTCTGCTCCGTCTGTCACACAGCACTACAGGCTATTCTTTTATGAAACGTGGCTAAAGGGGCGAACACACAACTAGGAATATTATTGTGAACGCCGCGTTATTTCTTAAGAACAACTATCAATGTGTTGAGAACTGCATCTTCTTCACAGTGTTGTTTCCATCGTAAAAAATGACTTCCAAACTCGGGGAACGGGACAATCCGTTATTTCACCTAAATTAGCAATACATATGTTTTTCACTTATCTTTAAAGATATTAATCCGTGCATTTGGTTAATTTTGAGATATGTTTCTGTTTCTCCTCGCATCCTAGTGAAGTGTACGTAGGTGAATGCATTTTGGAACTACTTCTTTACAAAATAAATAGTCCCTTGTGAACCGGGGTCTTTTTCCTTTCAAATTGAAGTGAAGCAACACTTGAATGTTGAAGGCTTGTAACAGGATAAAAAAACGATTATTTCTGACACTTATATTAACATTTATTGCTGTTTATGGACCATAAAAGCTTATTTCTGCAGAATAACAGACATTGTCTTCCCCTCATATCAATATGTACACAAGCTTTCATCCCCCTGACAGGCATCAGAGCACTAACTATTATATTAACTGTATCTGATGCAACAATAATGTGTGTATTTGTTGTTTGAGCGTCAACAATTGATTGTTTGTCTGAGAAACATACATTTTGCATTTGCAAGTTGAACAAATTGTCAGTAATTTGTCCTTTTTTACGATATGATACGATAAGCGACTAAGTAATGCATCACAGCAGCTCTGCTTGCAACATCAACAAATACCAAGAGACTGGGAACAGACAACAGAGTGTCTAACCTTAGTAAATTGTGCGACCCCGTATCTCAATTCATTTTAAACCCAAGTACTTTTCTACTCCAGTGAAGGTGTGAAGACAATAAGACCAAGAGGAATCAATAAAACACAAGATACGGATTACCTTGCAACAAAGCAGTCTATAGCGTCATGTCCCTAGAGTCTAAGGAAGCTTATTTGCACCTCAAAGTGCATGCGTAGTTGACCTCTGACCTGACACAATATTGTATTGCATTTGCTGTCCCCTCGGGCTTTAAATAATCCCAGGTTCCACTAACACTTTTCTCTGCTGATTCCTTAAATGCAGATGTGGATAACTGTTGGCCACAGACATAGGTATGCCTCCTGAGTAACCCACTAGTATGGCTTGAAACACATGATTATATAAAAGGGACGTATTGTGTGTTTAGATTCTTACCGAACACTTTGAGGAAGATCTCCCTCTCCTGAGACCCCGCCTTGTTGGTGGCTCTGCAGGTGTAGGTTCCTCCGTCTCCCTGGCGGATGTTACGGATCGTCAACATGCTCCGTCCTCCCTCCAGACGGGCGATAATATACTGCTCCGAAGGCTCCAGCTGCTGCCCTTTCCTACACACACCACACACACACACACACACACACACACCCACACACAAAAGTACATTTAGAAAACCCGTACTTTAAGAAGTTTAGTCAGTACTTCTACCAGAGTATTTTTAAACACGAGTATCTGTACTTCTACTTGAGTAAAGGATGTGTGTACTTATGGTAAATGTTCGTGTGACTGAGGCTCACTGGCAGTGAATGTAGGGGATGACTTTAGTCGTTGTTATTGTTTGTTTGTGTCCTTTGTAACACTTTTTTCTCTTTGTACATACAATCAGTACAGACCAGTGTCTCATTTATATGCATATATGCATTATTTTGCTTTCCACTTCTAAACGACACTAAACATTACGTATGCATCGGGGGGAAGTGTGCTCACACCTGTCAGTGACCTGCTCATAACACACACTGTTTGACGCTCCAGATGTATAATCTCAGCACTTTGGGTGTCAACTGATCGCATAAAAGAGAGGCTAAGTGCTCGACAGCTCGACTCTGAAGCTTTCTTTATCTATAGCTCCAAACATCACAACATACACGCTTTCAAGTGTGACAACAGAAGTGTTTTTGGAGTGACATATCGCACCATAATTGAAATAACTATACTTCAATGAATAATTTGTAGCATGCCATCAGTATTCCTCACACTTCTTAGACTCTGTGCCTCTCTCTGTTCCCAGTGGGTGTTGTTGTGGACATTGTGTTATGGATGCAGCGCTCGCTAAATGACTCGGCCCTTTTGTAGAACACAGTGCTGACTTCAAGTCTTTTTCCTATTGGACTCTGTTGGGAAATTAGTCTGAGAAAAAACAGCTAAATTGATCCATGTCTATATTTAAGCTTCATAGCTCAAGGTCTGCTGTTTACTCACCGCAGCTTAACCAGCCGTGTAATCTTTAAGGTTAGGGGATCTGCACATTTGGGGGAATTTGAGTTATTTCCCATCATCTTACAGATACACACTCATGGGGGCTTTGAGCAGGTATTTGAGCATCTCATAGAGTAGAGTGGAAAACCCTTTTTAAATTCTCAAAAGATGCATGTATGGTTAACAAATAAATAAACAAAGTTGGTAATTTCATGAATGCATGTTATTTACGTGAACCCACAGTCATATAGGACAACAATTAACTCCTAAAGAGTCCCTATTTTGCTTCTTAGGGTGTTCCCTTTCCTATAGTGTGTTATTTTGTGCATGTCAATGGTCTGCAGAGGCTCAAATCCCTGTGATGAAAAGCCTCCGAAGGACTGCTTTAAACCCAATGTACTGTGAATAGCTTTGTCTCATGAGTTGGCCACAAAAAGACCCAACTGACGAACAAATCTTTAATTTCTATTGACAACAGAAAGGTCAAAAAGGATGCCAATGCTGCACAAAAAAGAGGAACAAATGAAAGATCCTTTAAAGAGAGAAAAGCAGAGTTTAGAGAATAGTTCAGTGTTGATATTCAGCAGGTCAGAGATGCCTTGCCTCTGTGGTGGCCGGCAGATTTCAGCTCAGAAATCCAGAGGAATAACAAATGCTTCCCTCTAACATCTACAAGCTGTGCGTCCTTGAGCAAGGCACTTAACCTCCAGCTGCTTCAATGGCCAGTGGTGTTTGCACTGGCCTGCTCCCAAGTGAGTGTGTGTGTGTGTGTGTGTGTGTAAAAGAGATCCTGGCTGCATGAGAGTGTGCATTAGGAAGATACTTAAAAATAAATCATCATGGCTCGGGATAAAAGAGAAACCAGCTTTCAAGCAAATCAGTTGCTTTTTAATATAACCCAAATCCAATGCCTCGCAGTATGGAGAACAGGTGTGACTTCTTCTTCTTTTCACCTGTTATTCAAAATGCATCAGGACGCCCTCGATCTGAAAGAGGCACCCTGCTTTTAACCTCATAAGCTTCTGTGTAAATCCAATTCAAAAGCTTGGAAGCACCGAGCTCAGAATAATGCATGGCTCTAAATAACTTCTCTATAAGGTCTCAGTCTACAGAGTGAGGGGAAAATACAAACACAATATTATTATTTAGGGGATTTCTAGACCCAGTTGTCCGCAGCTTCGTGCACTGAAGGAGAAAGAGAGGGAGGATAATTGGAAGTCGACGGAGTAATAATAACGCTGGCGAGCCGAAGAGGAAATGAAGAGAAGCCTCATCTTCTGACTGGACTACAGCACTGAATGTCATTATTCTGACTGACTGCTGACAGGTAGTGCATTACCCACGATGCACTGAGACAGGAAATGCAACTGGGAGATGCTGGGAGGGGGTGACATCAAAAGAAAAAGTAAATTGGGTTGTGATTGTTGTTTACACCGAGGCCCATTCTTTCGTTGTGATGTGAGCATTTTAATTCTGTTCTGTCGCGGGACTCGCTGACCTGGGAAATGAAGGAGAACACAAAGAGGTGTTTGACAGGCGGTGGACTCACAGATCTGCAAGTCCTCACAGATCTGTAAGGACTTACAGTCAAAGGGAGGAGATGCCTTCGACAGAGTCTGCATATCTGCTAAGGCTTTAAGGCAGGGGTGTCAAACTCAAGGCCCGGGGGCCAAATCTGGCCCGCCACTTCATTGTATGTGGCCCACAAGAGCTTGCAAAGAATATAATATGTTTATTATGAGGTTACGTGCCGCTTTTCAGGAGCACGTTGCCCATAAACTACATGTCCCACAATGCATCTCATTTTGTGAGATGCGCACTGAAGAGACTTGCCATTACTTGCAATTATTTGCCCTAGACTTCTGCTTTCAGACGTAGTTAATTATGAAGTTATTACCCTATCCAATAATAATCCAATGCAGAGGAAATATTGTTAAATAATACATTATTTTATATATATTATATATATTTATCTATGTATATTCAAATAGTCTTAAAGTTACCACCGGCCCTTTGAGTGCAACCATAATTCTAATGTGGCCCGCGATGAAATTGAGTTTGACACCCCTGCTTTAAGGAGTTCTCTGTGAAATGCAGGGGGCAGAACATGCTCATTGTTCTCTCTATTGTGACATGTCTCGTTCAAAAAGGTCTTTATTCTTCTCATACAGCCTGAGCTGCTGCATGACTTTGGGATTGTTGCGTTTGCCGACCATTTACATGCATGAAAAAAAACATATAACACACTCTAGACCAGGGGTTCTCAAACTTTTTGTTTATGAGGACCACTTTTTATTATCAAGGATTTTCGCGGACCACCTCATATGCAAACCGTAAAAATAACTACATAGCGCCAGATTCCAAGATTGACGGCGAAGCTGGTTTTAGGCTCTCGTTAGCCAGTGTCTCGTAGCACAGAACGCAAACTGGCAAAGGCTCATCTTCAGTGCCGTGTAGGTAGATCCCAGTTCCAAGTAGTTCCCATTGTGTTTTCTCTTAATCTTCCCTGGCTTGTCGCTGCCTCCGACTCACTCTCATCATCTTCATGAACCTCTTTTCTCTTCAGAGAACATGATGCTAGCCACCGATCCATGTTTGTGGTTTTGCACGCGCACACGTAACCATGGGTAACCAGTGGTGAAATGAAGTGTTGTCCATAATTAACAATAACAAATATCTGTGTTTTAACACTACGTTTATATATGTACTTATTTGTACAGTTTGCATATGAGGTGGTCCGCGAACATCCTTGATACAAAAAAATAAGTGGACCACAGTTTGAGAACCGCTGCTCTACATCAGAAAGCATCAAAGTAATAAAATAAAACGTGCTTTTCACATGTTAGTTTCTCATGTTTTTAAAATCTTCTCTCTGGCCTTCTAGTCACAGCATGACACCTGACATTTCCCTGTGTTTGGTCTTTATACGTCTGTTGTAAATTCTTCTTTCTTTCTCATGTTATTGTAGTGAGCTTTTATTACATGTACAGCACTTTGGCTCGACCAAAAATCGTTTTTAAATGTGCTTTATAAATAAAACTTGATTAGATTTGATCCCCACAACCAACATGTCTAAAACAGCTATAATGATCCCAGAGCGTAATGATTATCCCGGGGTAGAAATGCCACATGGAAAGTCTAATTACGGAGGAGCAAATAAATCAATACGTCACCTCTCACCCGTCGTCGCTGGGAAAATATGCCGCTTTATATTATGCACGCTGTTTAATCATTAAAATCACATTTCCCCGCTTTGCTGTTTGTGTGTGTGAAGACTAGGTAGCACACACCCAGGAGTAAACATGACTCTAGAAACCAGAGAGCAAGATGAACGAGGCGAGCAGAGTCGAGGTCGTTCCCAGCTGTGAGCTGTCTTCAAATTTTGTTTGTACTTCGCAAAGTGATGCATGTGCCGGTTTTTTCCCCGCTATGATCGAGTTCTCTTTCAACCTTCTACACGAGAGACTTCAGTTCTCATTACGGTTGGTATCATTCTTGGAGGATACATGCAGGACTGATGCATTTACCGGCCTAACTACTGTATGTGTTTCAGGGCGTACGGTAGCTCCTGTCATCGGGTTGAATGTGGGATCATGTGACCTCTATATCTCAATATCTGACAGCTCTTCTTCTTGTGAGCTGAAGATAACCTCACATATGTGTAGCATTGACAACATAATGTTATATCAATGGAAAAATGAATTATTGAGCAGCAACGATTTCGATAATTGAGTGAAACTGGATGTTAAATTGCAGGTAGAAATGACTAAATATATAGTCATTAGTAAGGGGCCATATTAAGCGCATTTTTAGGTTTGATAATTGTATTTTGGGCCATGTTTACATACTTTAATGCAACATTTAATAACGTTTTTTGATTGATAGCTTTTGTCAAAGACATCTGTAATAAAATGCCAATATGAAGAAACTGTCTTCTGGTTTAAAGCTGCCGTCATAAAGCACAATTAAACCCTTCTCCTCTGCAATGAAGACTACAGATAACGGTGGTTAAAGGCAGAACCACCACTGGACCATCCTTGAAAAACACAATTTCTTGAGTTTTGACCATTTTAAGTCTTTTAAAAGTATGTGTTTTTTTGATAAATGTTTACATGGACTGCCGCCTCTTTTACATATCATGTTTTTATTTGTTGCTATTTTCACAAATGTCATGTTCTTATATGTTGTAGGTCAGATGGAAATTAGCTCAAAGCTAAAATCCGGCATATTTACACTTGAAGCATTATTTGTCTAAAGTGTTCATTAATGTGCATTGTCCCTATTCAAATAAACGATTAAATGAAAATGAAAAAGAAAATAAAAGCGTGAAATTGCTAAGAGTGTGTAAGAGTGTGTGAGAGTGTGTGAGAGTGTGTGGGCGTTTAAGTCTCAACACTTAGAGGTTGCTGTGTGTCATTATGTTCAATCAGAGCCAAATGTATTTAAGTGTTTCCCCCCCCCTTGGAGCTGAACTTTTAGAGGAAGAATATTGATATTTTAAGGGCATGGATAACCTTCACTGCATATCAAACTTACCTACAACTATTCTCCAACATTTGAGTGTGTGTTCCTATAGTTCCTTCAGGGCTGCCATTGATGTCTATTCATTTCAAAACAACGCACTGACACCTGCCTGCGGGTCACAGATAATGTCAGCTGTCTCTCGTCAACCCCGTCTCTTGTCATTTCAAAAATGATCTGGAAGTTACTCTCTGTTTTATCATGCACACGTTGCACCCTAGTGAAGTCAAGAGGTGCCTAGAGTAGTTAAAAAACACTTCACTATGCTTTAGAAACCAGACAAAAACACACAAAAACACTTCACTATGCTTTGGAAACCAGACAAAAACACACAAAAACACAGCTGTAGTGGATTTGGATGATTAAAAAACAGTATAGTAAAAGGTATGAACTCTGCTGTAATGCCAAAGAGTTATCAATAGGTGCTCAGGTGCAAATAGCTTTCTGCTGAGTGGGTGCAAGCTAATTACTGAAATGAGTGGATAGCTGGGGGTCAAATGCTCTTCAGGTGCAAACGTTCACACTGGTGCTGCGCGGCATGTGATACTAGTGTGTGGTTGCTGAGGGCAATGTGCGAGGGCGGACTAGAAACTGCTCTGTTAATATCCAGATGAACTGCAACCAGAACATCGAACATGTAGGCTGTTTATCTCAGGTATATGAACTCATGCATGGGTATGAATAAAGATGAATAGATAGCTCAGGTTAGCATTAACTGAGTGGTTATTCACCTAAATGTATATATGTTCATTTCTTATTTTAAAAGTTACTTAACTATATATATATTTTAATTGTATCTTAAAGGTTATTCTTCTTTATCCTTTGAGGGACCACAAAGCTTAGTGTTATCTCTCTGAGGTGCACGTCAGAGACCAATGATGGGTTTTAAGGAAGTAGGACGTACCTGTGCCATGTGACCAGAGGGTCAGGTGATCCAGAGGTCATGCAGGTGAAGGTCACTGATTCCTGGTAGTCAGCGGTGGCGTTGAAGGCCGGCTGAAACACCGAGAGCACCGGAGGGACTGCAGACACACACAAACACAATCAAATCAACATTTATTATAGCGGCAAATCACAAGACATGCCTCAATGGGCTGTACAAACGCAAGAGAGAAAAACGAAATACAAACATCATAGCAGAACAATTATAAAAACAGTATTGCCATGTGATAAAAGCATGTGACTGAAGTGATGCTAATGTGGATGGAAACTAGGTGATGGAAAGTAGTGAGTTTTCAGTTTGCTTTTAAAGGAGTCAACGGAAACATCTGACAGCCATTAGACCCTGACAGTTAATTGCGTCACTAAAACCCACATCTATACAATATTAAGGATTAAAGGCAAGATGTAGTGGCCGTGTACGTGTCCTGTAAACACCCAGAAAATGCCTCTTTCTGTCGGTAATCCCTCGGGGATTTCAGGTAACATTTTGACCGAGCTTTGGTAAGGAAACACAAAGGATCTGAACACAGAGATGTGAATAATACTATTGTCTGATTCTGAAACGCTTAGATAAATCCGTAGAGAATGTGTCTCGACATCAACAACAACAATAACTGTATCATCTGTGATAAACGCTGCCTTTCTTTGGTGAGTAAAGTATTCAATCTCTGTCGAGTGATCGAAGTACGGACGTTGTTTTTAGTGTCAGGCTAATAAAGTCCTATCTTATCTTACCTTATCTTGATTAAAAAGCTGATTTAAAAGTGTTCCAGGACACAAATCCACACATTTTAGGGCCATTATGAAGAGGTGATAATAACGACAAAACAATTGCCATAAATCCAATATGTCTTGTTAATCTTTTACAAACAGCAGCACTGATACACAGCAGAGGATTTGTTGAGTGCTGTCGCTGTGGCTGTTGTTTGCTTTGTCAGGATCATTTCTGCTGAGTCGTTATTACAAAAGGCTTAATCGCTGTGATTTTAAGGTAAGGGGTCTATCAGACGTGCGCACACTGACTGGGAAAGTTATTACTACTAATAATTTGATAACTGTCCTTGTTCCAGGACACTAATCCAATATTTGTTCACACATTTTTGAGCCATTATGATGAATTGTATGCTTGAGATGCAGAAAATGTACGAACAAATCCAATATGTCTCCTTAATCTCTTACAAACAGCAGTACTGATACACAGCAGAGGTATTGATGACTGTATTTGTTGAATGCTGTCGCTGTCGTCCAATCAGATGAGAGCTGTCATCCTGTCATTAAGTCAAAGGAGAGCCGGTCGCTCTTTTCTACGCTTTGCTTTGCGGTGACATTAGGCTCTGACAGCTTTACGGCACAAACATGTTTATCAGACGTCTCGGTCCATTTCTCCAGCTCCTCCTGTACCTATACTCCCATTAACACTGATCTGAGACCAGTCTCAGGGCAGGTTAAGTGCATCACCTGACTGTAAACATGTGAGCATGCAGCAGCAGGAAAAACACATTGCTCCAATGCTCATATGAAGCTCACATGGAGAAAATGTGTAATGTGAAAATGTAGGCCTTATTGTGAGGAAAGCTTTTCATTGCTTACTCTTGTTCAAAACACCTAATTTTTTATTAAATGTGCACGAAAACTAAATAGTGATATTGTTAGTAGATAAATATATCAGACTAGGAGGACTTCCTTACCAACGATGCCACAATCTTACTCAAAAACATTTCTACAATCAGCACAAACATGTTTATCAGACGTCTCGGTCCATTTCTCCAGCTCCTCCTGTACTTCTACTCCCACTAACACTGATCTCAGACCAGTCTCAGGGCGGGGTTAGGCATGTTTGCAGCGGCTTATTGGAGAACCATGACACTCCACCTGGCTGTAAACATGTGAGCATGCAGCAGCAGAAAAAATACTCTTGTCCGAGGCTCACGTGGAGAAAAATGTAGAATTTAAAATCACAATATTGTCTGTTTTTAAATGTATTTAAATGGCCTTATTGTGAGGACATTTGTAATTGCTTATGCTTGTTCAAAACACTTCATTTTTTGATTAAATCTGCACGAAAACTCAATAGTGATATTGTTAGGAGGAAATACCTTTCAATTGAAGTAATTCCTTCGCATCGATGCAACAATCGTACTCAAAGAATCCTCTAAAATGTAGACTTTAAAATCACAATGTTGTCTGTTTTTAAATGGCATTTTAAATGTGCTATATATATATATAATGTTACCTTATTGTGAGGACATTTTCTATTGCTTACTCTTGTGCACGGAAACTCAATAGTGATACTGTGAGTCAATACATATATCAGACTAGGAGGAAATACCTTTCAATTCAAGTTCTTCAACAATCTTACTCCCATTTCTGCCAGAAGCTACAACACAGCCCTTCTTTCCAAAGGTACAATAGCTAAGGCACATGAGACCATTAGCATAATGAGACCCCATTACTCGCTGAAGTACTGGAGATAATGAGAATGATTATTAATGCCAGGTGTAAAAGCAAAGCCTGTGATCAGACGTTATTATCCAGACTATTTATCTACATACACTTCCAACACCAGAGTGTAAATGAGGACTCAACTTAATATAAAGTGTAATTATATTTCACTTATCCACTGTCAACAGGTTGCAAAACATTATGGTTTACTTGTGTTGAGTACTATTGGTGTAACTAAGGATCTGTCGGGGCAATAACTCACATGGCGTGTTTGCTGTAAAAACGCCTAAAATCAACACTGCATGTTCGTGTATCCGTTTCATTTACAATTCAGCATATTGATCTACGAATAACAGAAGATCAGCACAACCCACGCAGAGCTGTTGACTTCTAAAACGACTTGAGTGTCTGTAAAGCTGGCATTTCAAAACCTAACAGATGTTTGCATTTGTGTTAAATATGTATAAATGGCAGCTGCTGCAAATTCATATTATTCCAGCATCATTTGTCTTACTCAAAACAAAAGGTGTCGTTTTGTGGGAAAACAAAGTGTTTTTTACTCTGAATTTGTAATTTAGTGTGGGAGTGATTGAAGGTTAATGAACTGAATTTGTTTTCCAATTGATGTTATCGGAGGACACTCAAAAACAACTCGGTAGACGATAAGAAATAAATATCATAGATGGTCTCATTAAAATGCGGTCTTGATGAAACTCAGTTGTGAAGTTGTTTGTAAAAAAATACTTGGGATAATGAATAGGGAATTCTAATCAAAACACAGCATCACCGCAGATACCTAATGAAGCAAACACTGCGGTGTACTGTAGCCTTTCTTAAAAGATCAATTACACTAACAGCACCAGAGTGTGTTATCGTGAGAAACTCTTCATCTAAACTCCACAGCGTCTGATCCATCTGCCGTCCCCTGGTGTCTATCTATCATTCACTTATTGCCTGGTGCAAAAAAGAGATGAATATTTCCCGCATTATCAGTGAATTCCACACACAATGCACGCCTTATTGGGAGGATATATGCAGAGGAACTGGAGAGCTTTCAGGGATACAAACGGGCTGAGCAGTAATCAAACACCATGAGGCCTTTCCAATAGTCCTGACTCGGCGATTGCACAGAGAAAGCATCTGCCAGACATGATAACCATTGATTTCCACGCCAATATATTTCCTTTTCTCCAGTGTTTCTCCCTCTCTCTATATGCAACACACTCCCACATCAGTGAGGCTTGTTGAAACGGCCCGTTAATGAGACGCAGTGCCAAGCAGAAAGACTTCAAAAGAGCGAATCAGCAACAGGCTCTGAGCGTCCAAAAAGAATCTGGCGAGCTTTATGAATTCTTCATGTATTAGTCATATCCCGGGAACTTCAGAGGCTCGCTGGAGGTGCTGCTGAGGTTTTACAGACAACCCCACAAGCGTGAGGATACTCTGCAAACATATTTCCAGATTTCCAACTCGCTCAGACTGATTTGAATGCATCGCTGAGGAGCTGGAGGTCTGTTACGCGCCAATGGGCTTCAATGAACTTAGCATCACTCGTGTTTAAAAGTCGGGTAAATATCAGAACCGTGTACTAGATAGCAAGCAAATGTTCTGAGACCTTTACTGGAGTGCTTATTAGTGTTCTTTAGATCAGAACACACTGGAAGGAAACCAGCCCTGATTGATAATGGGTAAATTAAGTGGTTGATCTTCTAGTAATGTGTGAGTTAATCCAAAATGAAGTGTCTGGGAAGGATACTTGGGGAATTAGGATCTGCATTTTGCATCACCATCAGATATAAAGAGATGTTTGATATTGATTAAGGAAAACATGAAGCTCTATTGAAGGGAGAATCATTGAGATGCACGCTATAGTGTGATCATGAGCAATCCATATTGAATTGCATTAAAGCAGCAGTTTGACATTTAGTGATTTACACTTATTTATTTTCTTGCCGAGAGTCTGATGAGAAGATCAATAGCACTTTTACATCCGTACGGTATCTATGTGGGTGGTGCCATTAGCTCGTTAGTCAGAGTTACTATACATCAGTAAAAGAGATAACCTGACGCTCTAAAAATACGGATATAAATAAAACCAATTTACCGACTATTTATACGTCCCATAAGAAAAATAGTCTGGGAATTAACCCACATTTAAAACCATAACTTCCTGAGTTAACATATTACATATGAAGCCGAAGAGTTTGGTAATAGGAGACGTCTTCCTCCACTCTTTATGCTAAGCTATGCTAAACTGCCTCTGAAGCTATATGCAAGAAAGCAAGTACGGTTATCCCCCAAAATGTTTAAATGATTCCTTCAGGTGAGCTACAGGAGCAGGCTAGGTGAGAAATCTATGTCTTGTAGGTGTGTGAGTGTGCCGTGTGTTACTCTATCTGAGGTGGATACCACACAGGGAATGAAAAATGTGTGTGTCACGCTATAATATGTCTTATTTCGCGAGAAACCTCTCAGTGTCCAGGGATGAAAAATCACTGTGTGTCATGACGGGAAGGACAAATATATCCATGATGAACAGAGAAACACTCTGTTGTGATACTGCACTGTTGTTAAAAAGCTTATTGACAGGGAGACAAACTACATATGTAAATAAAATACTTATGTCAGCTTTTCACACGATATCGCTTGATACATGTCCTTGCTTTTAACATCCTCCAAGGTTACTTCCTAAAATGTTCGGCCTCTCTCCAGACTGCTTTTTGACCTGAAGGTTGATTATCCATTCACTCGATACGCCATCTACGGTCTGCTTTGATGAAACTCCGGGTCAGCGTCACGCTTGTGGGCAAAAAGGAGAAAACTCACTCTTCTATAAAACCCCCACGATGAATATGTATGACTTCACAGCGAGGCGTTTCAGACAACATACCGTTCCTCGTGACTGGATAAAGAAACGTCTGTTAACACATTGCTGAAGTAGTCAGAACTGACACGCTGCCAAAGAAAACAGCATGGTATAACAATGCTCGATATAAACTCTGTGTATCGCCAGACTCAGAGGAGGTGATACAGTCTAACTTTACAATACAACTATAGGAGACACAGACGCTAACAATCCACTCAGCTGTTGCCTCTGAAAGAACCAACTTTATAGGGATCATTAAAAGTATTGATTGACTTCTTTCTGAACAAAAACGAGGCAATTTTCTATTCGTACGGGCAATTAATGAACTAAATCATTAAAGCTATTATCCAACAGAACATGTTATCAGTCAACGAGAAGCTGAATACTCAATCATGGACCTCACACCGCGCTGACATCCTCCACAGCCTCATTCAACAAGCCTCTCTGCTAATTGAGAGCTCAAAGTAAAGTTAGCAAAGTGCTCCGAGGTTTTCCTGAGGGCTTTTTCTAACCTTGGAATATTTAAAATGCTGATTTGTCCATGTTTTATAGAGAGATCTTTGTTTTTTTTAGACATGCACTTTGTTCATACATGTCAAATGATATTAACCTGTTAAGCATCAAGCCTGTTTTTCATGTTTCAGGCTCGAAAATGACATGCCCAAAACAAATGACTACAACTTCACTTCTAAAAGGGTTATATGAATAATTTCTTTTTATCAAAGCAAGGTTACATCTGTGAGTTGGATGTAGAAGTGTCAGAATCAATATAGATGTTTTTTATTTTAAAGAAAATTCAGATTTTACATAGTAAAAAACTGTAAATTATAATGTCCGTCCAAAAATTCTTTTTTACAGATAGTGAAAACTACCCTTGGATGATGGGTTAAAGGGGCTCTATTATGATTTTGGGGTTGTCCCCTTTCCTGTCGTGTGTTATCTAGGTGTTGTGCATGCAAATGTTCCTCAAGGATGCACAAAATGCAAATAAAACCCTTAAGGCCCCTTTAAATATCAATGTGGCATTGCTTATAACTTGTTGATGTCATAAACAAGTGGCAAGGAGTGACACAATGCACATAAGAATCTTTAAGGCCCCTTGAAATATAAAGAAGGGGAGTGGGGCTCTTAAGAAGATGAAAAACAGGACAATCATTTTTTGGCATTGCCTATAACTTGTTGATGTCATAAATATGTGACAAGGAGTTACAAGTAGACACTGCTTTATTCCAAGAGGTATATAAACAGAAATTGCATAACAGAAGTACAAAGAAAGGCAGTGACAAAGACAAAATGGCCCCTTAAAAATAACAACATAAAATGGTAGAATGATTGTTTTGCTCTGCTCCTGGTACTATGGGTTAAATGCAGAGGTCAAATGTCACTGTGTTTGCTGTGGGCATGTACGTGTGACCAATAAAGAGGGCCATCCAATTCTTCTTCTTTTTGGCATTGCTTATAACTTGTTGATGTCATAAACATGTGACAACGAGTCACAAGAAGACACTGCTTTATTGTAAGAAGTATATCAACTGAAATTGCATAAGAGAAGTAAAAAAAAAAAGGCGGTGTGATTGGTGCAGGAAGCGTCTATCTGCAGCTCTCTGATTGGATAAGAATCGACGTCCATCCTGACTCTGACTCAAAGAGCTCAGTGTCGACCCTCAGGAGACGAGCCTACAGTAAAGATGGCCGCTCTGTAGCTGACTGGCTTCATCCTTTCTTCTTCATTCTTCCTCCAGGGGTCCTCACACACACACAACGACTGATTCTGGCTGTTTTTTTACGAGTTTGTTTATCCTCCTTCACCGGTATATCCCCGGGCACGGCAGCAGAAAACAGCTCAGCATCCGCAGCTGATTGATAAAACATGTAGCATTGATATATCCGAGCCTCCCAGCTATCTGCTATCTGTGTGTGTTTGGACCAGTCCGAGTCGATATGTTCTCTGTTATTGCTCCACCTTGCCCTCAGTGTTACAACCCACAGAGGGGGAAAAGTCCTCGTGAATTTTCCAGGTGACAAGCCCTATAAATATGAAGGCAGTGGTGTAGAGAGATAACTAAAATATTCCCTGTTTTCTACACCAACAAAAATAGTTCTTCAGAGTGAGAGCACACGGCTAGCTTCAGGGCAGGAAACGGAAATGTAGGGTTTTCAAATAGCGGAAGCCTATAGGTGCAACTTTCCTGAACATCACAGGAACACAGATCCTCAGGGACTCTGTGAACTCCTGGGACCGAGAGGGGCTGTTGTGCAACAAGCACAGTATGATACAAGCTAATATTATCAGCGTTAAGAGTATTTTCAATCGCTGTCACCTTAAAATCAACTCTAGCTAGCGAGAGACATTCAAAAGCAGCACATTTTGAATGCTCAGCTAGTTCAAAGTAGTCAAAAGTGCACGTTCTGCTGTAACAGATGTCCTCCAGCTTAGCCTGTCTTAAAGGACAAACTCATTAGTTTTTATAAAGTTTTCTCTAAGTACTTTAAATATTTAATGCGGACCAAATGGTGCTTCTGCAGATCAGATTGTGTGTCCTTCAGGCGGAGCTCACTTTGAGTCTTTGGGGAAGTGCTAAGCGAGTCTCCTTGAGGTAAAGGCACATTTATTTATATAGCACTTCTCAACACAAGGCAATTCAAAGTGCTTTACAAAAATGAAAGACATAAGGAGTATAAAACACATTAGAAACATTAAAATACAAAGTTAATAAAACATGAATACCACAGGTACATGAATACAGTGCCGTGTGAGATGTGAATAGTTCAATTAAAAGCAAAAAGAAAGTCTTCAGCCTGGATCTAAAAGTAGTAAGAGTTTCAGATACCCCTAACCAAAATTCTCACATTCCTCGAAGTCTTCCCGTGAAATTATAGTACAGTTTTCTAACCTTATCCTATTCCTATCATCCTTCTCTTTCATCCAAACGTTCCCCTGTTACCCGAACCCATCTTTAAAGAGACTTCCTCAGGACATCTCAGCAGCACATGGCGAGTGTCGTGTCGCTGCAATAATAGGTCAAGCCTCATTGAGCCGGCTTATTGGATCTCCCTCTGAAGTGAGCTAAGTGGTGTGCTAAATTGAACACAATTCATAGGTTTTTGGGCGGAAGGGCCGCTCTGCTATTACATTAACTGAGAGAGAATTACACGGGCAGAGACAATATTGCAGCTGTTCAAGCGTTACGCTGCGTTTCGTGCTCTGAAAAAAAAAAAAAATCACATTTCAATCACCTCGGCAGTCTCAGGTGACTCGGGCGCAAATGAGGACAAATGAGAAAATTAAAATGTCATCCTTCGATTTTTGGGCCCCGCAGAGACCAAAGACATCGCTAATTGAAATTTTCAATCACATTAAAGGATAACGAGAATAAGTAATGGTAGCAAAAAGAAAAAGAGCAGCGCTGCAATAAGCGTGCCAATGATGAAGTTATTAAGAGTCAGTGAGGCTGAATCTGGACGAAATCTGACCACTGCTCCTTTTGAAAGCTTATAGACTTCAGGATGAAAAGAGGAAGAGGAAACTCAACCCTAGCTTCTTTTCTCAGAGACATCGGATAGTTTGGGTCTGTCCAGATCTATGCTAAAGGTGACCTGGTAACAACATTGTTTGCTGGGCTGTGTCACTGTAAGAGGATTACGCTTCACAACACTCTTTGGAAACCGCATTTTCAGACCTCACAAGAATAAAGAACAACCAAGACTGTAGAGATACAAGGATTTAGCGTCTGTAAATCCCAAACTGAGGCTGAAACCAACAATGTTTGTGGAGGATAACATATGGCACAATGACGTCAACAACATTCACAGAAAGTCTTGATCGTTTGGCTCCTGAATCATCTTTCTGTACACACTACAGCTTTAAATAGAAAGATTATTCCTTTAAAGGACTCCTATTATAACATTTTTAGGCATATATGATATGTCTCAGATATATAAACAACATGGTGTTTTGCTCAAACATACCAAACAGATCACCCATTCGAGCCTCATCCCCCATATGTATGTATAAAAGACTTCAAACAGTGATAGGAGACCTTTAAAATGTTCTGTTTTTAACAATTTTACCCCCGTTTTTAGAGATGTGGGTACGGAGGGAAAGAGAGAGGGTTGTATTTTCTGACACTTTGTGAGTCTACACACATATTTATGTATAAAAGACATCAAAAATGCATTTTGCATGATAGGACACCTTTAAAGGTGGGGTAGGCAAGTTTGAGAAACCGGCTCGAGATACACTTTTTGTTATATTCCATGGAATGCTCTTAACATCCCGATAGCAATGAATATCTGAAGTGCTTTGACAATAAATCCATAAAAAGTGTCATCTGTGGAAGCTGTAGTACTGTAAAAAGCACGACCAATCATCTGAGCCGGCCCGGCTAAAATAACTGGATGGCCTACCTGCCTGTCAGCCTTCCATCTGTGCACAAACTTACCTCGTGCCCTCATTGGTCATGTGTGCGTTCGTGTGTGTTGGAGGAGGGGCTCTGTAAGGAAGTGGCTGATTTTCTCCGGTTGTGTATTTTCAAATTCTAGCGATCTCGAGCCGGTTTCTCCAAAATTACCTACCCCACCTTTAAGCATCGTCTGGTAGTCAAACCTTCACATACAGTCCTGATTCAAAGTGAAACTCACCGTTGACGACCATGGCGATGTCCACAAAGTCGATTTCTCCGCGGGCCTCGACGCTCGCCTCGCAGCGATACACACCCTCGTCCGCTTTGGTCACCTGATGGATCTGAAGGTTGTTGTTCGGCAGCACCTGAAACCTGCCTTCACGTCGAAGAGGAGGAGAGGAAGAGGAAGAGGAAGGACACACACAGAGAGAGAGAGAGAGAGAGAGAGAGAAGTGAGATAAGGAAGTTAGGAAAACACACGGAGGAAATTGCCATCTCCTCTCTCCAGGAGTTCGGCTGTCAATCTTCACTTGGGCACATTTACCTGATAAAGTCCACACTGATAAAAATTCACGCAATTACAGTTGCAAATAGTCTCCATTGTGGCCAGGAGTGATGAGGCCTCTATCTCACTCCTCCCAAGCAAAGATATGTATATCCATGCATCGTAATTACAGTGAAATGATTAAACTGAAAGAAAAAAGGAAACCCTTCTCCTCCTCTCCGAGTTTCATCATCACCCTGGCACTGAAGATTTGAATTTCAATTAAAAAACGTGACGGATTCAAGGGGTCACTCTTTCTAATCAGTGCTCGGACGTGCGTTTTTGTCTCGATGGAGGACGGGGGAAGTGGTGTCGAGAGTTGTAAATCAGGGCGGAGAAGACGAGGAAATAATGAATCCCACTCTACAGGTTCCCTGGAAATAATAATCCTGCTGAAAGTGAGACTGTCCTGCGTGTGTTCCTCTACGCTTTTTTATGACAAAATGGTGGGATGACAGACAAGAGCTTAACAATTCTATACTTTCCATTCGTTGTGGATCAAATGAGACTCAATTTGATGGACACAATGATGCCCCAGAAATCGCTCCATAATAAGAGGTTTGCATGCATCCCATCGCTCTCTAATCCATTCTCTCAGTCGCCTGTTAACACGGTTTCTCTCAGAGTTATACGCCTCCTCCAGGGCTGATGGGATTTCTATTTATAGAATTTGATATCCTTGTCTTATTGTGAAGCCACACAAAAGAAGGAAATAGCGTTTCCTAGAGACACAGTATTGTTGGCACATTAACAAGTCTTTTCAATGAGGGAGGGAGAGGATTGGGAACATTTGGACTCGTGAGATTTTCTTCTTCTCAACAATCAAGTGTGTTTGGCAGGTTTACATTCCAAATGCAAGGCTTTTGAGATTCCTGTGTATTGTTGTCATCATAATCTGCTATTATTATCACTTGCAGATTAGCTATCAGTAACGTGTTATATCCCAGAAGCCTGTGAGACTAAATGAACAACCTTAAATCAACTTTAGGTATTAGGTATTAG